ATTTTGTATTTAGATAATCTATTAAAAATACTCTAAATTTGAAAGGTTAAACTCACTCTATTTTAAAAAATTAAAATATAGAGTTATTTGAAATTTATTTTTAAGTATTAACTCTTTAAAATAATTTTTTTAAGTATCTACAGTTTAGGTCGTCAAAGATCTCTCGACACTTATGCGTAAGTGTCGAACTCCGAACTACTCATTGTAGACCTCCTCAATGACTTTGAGAGTCCTGGGTTGTATATCAAGTGGATAAGAAATTTTTTTTTTTTTTCATTATTCTTCATTTCTAAAATTAATATTTAAATTGTCTTTTTATCTTCGATTAGTTAATAAGCTCCTATTTTGTGAAAAAAAAAAATGAATAGATTTTGTGAACAGTTATTATTTTGGAGAATAAGACTAAATACGGGGAAAATGTTTTGAATTTAGGTGTAAAATTATTTTACTAGAAGAATGTGATTGAAAATTAGTTTGTGGAAAAATAAATTTTCGATAATAGAGGCTAAACAATGTCTAATTTTGGTAAGCAATTTGAGGGATTTGTTTAGGACCTGTTTGGAAGTTTTTTCTCACCAATTTTGACCTTTTTGGTGGCACCATTTATTAGGAGTTGAAAAAATCAGCATTTGCTTTTGAGCACCGATTTTGGATAGTTTAAAAANNNNGCACCGATTTTGGATAGTTTAAAAAATCAACCAAAATCGGTGTAGTATAATTTTCACCGATTCTTTCAACCCACTAATCGACGAATTTAGGTTGTTTCTCGTATTTTCATCTAATTTTATCATTTATAAAATAATTATTTTCAATCAATATATTATTTTCAAAACTTACTTGTAAATAAAAATATATTAAATAATAAATTATTTATAAGCAAAAATATATATATTATAATTAAAAAATTCTTATAAGTAAATCTTACTTATAAAATAAGAAAAATTGAATTATAATTTAAAAAATAACTTATAAGTAAATTTTCATTTTTATGTAAAAAAAATTATAAAATAAAAATACTACTAATAAGGCAAAAATTTACTTATAAGTAAAATATCACTTAAAATTATTTAAAAGTGTAAAATTAACTTATAATTGTAAAATATAAGTAAAAACTATTAACTTAAAATTTTAAGTAAATATTTAACTTTATATAGGTTTTAAGTTAAATATTAACTTAAATATAACAAATTATTTATAAGTAAAATATCACTTATATGTGAAATTTCTTTTATATTAGAAATTATAAACTAAAAATTTTACTAAGAGACATACATGTAATTTTATTTTATTTAAAAAAAAGTTTCAGAATTTATGAATAATGAACTCTCAAATATAGGTTCGAAGGTTTTATGCAACGTTCTTTGATTGTTGTTATAACACGTTTTGCAACGTTTTTTTTTTACTATTGTCTTTAACTCATTTGCAATATTTTCTAAAACTGTTGTCTTTATTTTTGTATTTAATTTTTTGCAACTTTTTTCGTGAGTTGTCTTTATTTTATTGCAATTTTATGTAATTGTTGTCTTTTCTTTTATCTTCTCTTTTCGACAAGGTTCTTTATCCCTTTTTGTAAGTCTTTTTGTGTTTTTTTTGTCTATTTATTCTATAGTTTACTCTATTTTTATAGCAATTTATGCACATTGACCAGCAAAATTAAAGACATTTATAAAGCAATTTTCGCAAAGGTTTTTTGTGACGCATAAAATTGAAAATAATTTCATTTACGAAATTTTGATGCCATATACAATAAAATATAGGAACACATGTAGCTATTACTCCATTGAACACAATAACTAAACTCTTCAAAAAAGACACGAGGATCAAATGAACCTAAGACCAACCAAAGACGTACGTAGTCAAGGACATAAAGCAAATTAGAAAGATGTCCAGAGGGGGAAAATTATTTGAATGCTTGCGAAGACTCCCATCACAATGCACACAATCAATATAATCAAAACATTAGACGAGAAGTCCCTCACTAATCATCTTGCATAAAAGTGGGTCAGCAAGACACGGGTATAATGTATTGTTTATAGCTCGGCTTCATATAACTGCAATAAGGAAATAAAATGGAGGTCGTGTACATTAACTAATAATTTTCAACAAAAAATTAAGTTGTTACCTGGACCATTTTCAATGCCATTGAATCTTGAACAAGTTCTATGAACACCCAAGCGAATTAGCAGAGATAAGAACTTAATAATTAAGTAAGAAGAAATTACACACACACCTGGAAATATATTTCCAATTTCACAAATCCAATAACAAGTTCAACAT